TCCCAGTTATTTACCATCCCTGGTGCTTACTCTTCTTTCAAGAATTGCTCGCCTTGCAAAAGGGAAGGCAGTGGGTGCATCTCCTCGCTGGAGCTCTGAAGGGTCTCGTTTCTGTTGTTGGTAAAGGCCACTTAATTTAAGCAGTGTGAAAGGTGGCTATTAAAGGTGATGTCAGGTTGCTGAAATGGAGAAAAAGAAAAGGAGGAGGTTAGACGTGACGCCCTGTGAAGGGGAAATGCATCTCTAGTTTGGATCCAAGGAGCACGTGCAATGAATGGAATACGTTCTCCTTTAGCAAAACTGCCAAATTATCAAGTGCATTTCTCATGCTCATTAACACTGGACTTTTAGAACCTGATAAGAATGCAATATAAAATCAAACAGCCCCTAAAGACGGAGAGATTATATTAAATGCTCTCCTATCACCAGCCCCTGAGTGCTTGGCAAGAGAAATGGTGACATTTACTAATCAGTAGCCTCTCTTATTTGTCTTGGCTGAAAGTCTCAAGTCCTCAGCTTATTGAAGTTATTACAAATGCTCTCCATTAGATTCTGTTTAACTTCCTGGTATTTGCAGTTGAACTTGATCACAATGTCACGGAGGAGTTATGTCTTTAAAAAGAGATACAGAAGTTGTGATACCGTGTATGTAAATTGCCTCTTTATTTCCTTTCTTCCAGCCTCTGTTCCTAAGCATGTGGTGAGTGTCTGACATTTTGTCTTTTCACCCTTAACTACCCCTGACACTTCCCTGCTCCTGTCTGACTGCAGAGGAGTTTATTTCTTGTAACGTGAAGGTGATATTTTTTACCAAACCATGACTTGGGATATCCCTTTCGTTTGAACGCCCTTCAGGATGACCTGCAATGGTTCACCTCCTGGAAGTCAGCAAACGGCACAAATTCCTCTGTAAGGCCAGGGCATGGGACACGAGCAAGTGCAGAGGTGTGCCCTGGGGCAGATTACCAGAAATTTGGGGCTGTGGATCCTTGCTGGATCACCTTTTTGTTCAGACTTTCAACTGAAAAATAAATGGTTATCAAATGGTCTGTGGAGCGCATACCGTGGCTTTGCAGCCTGTTACTGGTCCACAAACCACAGGAGCCCTGTGGCATGCGGGGTAACGCCCGTGCCGGGCTCCTGGTTAGCAGCAGCGCCTTGCTGCCGGCCCGGCTCCGTGCTGCAGGAGACCTCCGAGCTAATGCCAAACTGCTTGGAAGAGCTAGAAGAGCGACAGCTGTTGTGACACTGTTAGGTTTTACACAAATCGGCTTTTCGGTTTCGCTTCAAAACTGGCAAATAGATTGTTTTGAGAATTGTTATTAAATAAACAAAGCCTTTCCTGCTTGTGCATTTGCAGTCCCCAGAGCTGCTAATGGCAGAGTAGGTTGGCTCTTCGCTGCAGCAATGTGTGTCAGTGCGATGAGCAATGGTCTTCATGTCCCAGGCAAATGGTAACAGCGAGGAACACATCGCGTGCTGCTTTTTGTGTGCGTGTGTCAATTGTCCTTGGGCACCAGGGGCTGGGAGAGGTACTGAGATAGCTGCTACGGCCACGCAGACGGGCTGGGAAGATGCTCGGGGCAGAGCCACGCGAGCCGGCGTTGGGAGGAGGATTTGCTGCTCCTGCAGCACGCCAGGACAGAGCTGTCAGAGTAATTCATGGGTTTATGAAAAACAAGAATCAGGTGTATCGGAGTGCTTGGTTAACTGCGTCTTGCCAACCTGTGATGTGTTGAGCTTTTCCTGAAGGATCAGCCGAGTTATTGCCCAAAGTGCTGATATCCCCACACCAGCTTTGCAGACCCGTTGGGCTTTCTCTTCCCTTTCCAGCACAATTGTAGGCATGGAAATGCTTCTCAGAGACCAAGACTCAGTGGAAGAGGGGCAGGTCCTAGTTCTGTCGTCATCTCTGCCTTTTGGTTTGCTGAGCACATCAAGCCATGCCTATTCAAGCTTTTTTTTTTTTTTTTTTTTTTAAATGACAGTTTATCTGAGCTCACGGAATGAATGGATAACGTTACTATTTACATAAGCTCATTGTGATCTGTCTCGGTAATGTAATCAAATTAGGGTTAACTGCAGCTGGAGAATGCCAGCTTGTAAACTGTTTTTCAAAAAGAATCACATGGTGTTACTTGACATGTTTAGTATACATTCAGGAGGCTTTGCAAAAATTATAGCACATCCCTAACTAATGTGAGTAAGGCAGGGCTCTGTTGCCACCAGTTTGCTGAGCCCAGGAAATGAAACGCAATGAAATTCATCATCAGCTGGAGGAGAGATACCTCCAACCGGATCCCTCAAACAACTTCTTCTGACGTGGCTGCTGCTGACATGTTGTCTTTCTTTTGGCTAAAGTCAACATATCAGTTGATAGAAAAAGCATATGGTGCAAATTTTGAGTACATTTAAGAACATCTGTGTTAACTGCAAAACTGCAGCCCACTGTACACGTCAAGCACTATATTTAGTATTATGGCATTCACATAAGATGAAGTCCAGCCTGAGCTAAAATTACCCAATGAGTAGATTTTCAAAGTATCTTTTGTTATTCTTATTAATAAACATCACATCTGGTACTTTCTCCCCCTCTCTCTCCCTTTCTCTCGTTTAATTAGGAGGTAGTATTTACATGCCCGTGTTGCGTTCATTGAGCTCCCTTCCGCCTAGAAAGGTGTTTTCAAACGGTTTTCGTTCCAAACTGGGAGTGCAGAATAAGGATTTTGTACTTTCCTCCTGAAGCCGGGAAGGTTTCTGAAGGCTCTGTGGGATCCCCAGCAAAGGTTTGACAGCTCTGGGCTTTGGCTTGTGTCTTCTGACAGCCTTGCCCCCAGATACCAACAGTGCCAACTTGTTCTAACGACGTGGGCAAGTAGGAAATTCCGGGGTGTTCAAGGAACGCAGAAACCCTGTGGCAGAACCTAGTCCCGTGCTTGTGCACTGCAGGCGTAATCATCTTCCCTTTGTAAAGTCTGGTGTAAAGCAAGGATGGAAGATGTAATCTAAACAGGGTTTGAAATCTCCCACTTTTGCTAAAAAACCTTTCCCTGCATGTAAATGCATGTAGCTTGAGGGTGGAGATGGCTCCATCAGAATAAAAATTCTTCATGAAATCAGGCTTTATTTCCCTGGAAGTTCTGTAATGGAAGGAAACTGAAAAACTACTCCACTTTGTCAAAAATCAATCATTTTGAAATACCACAAATGAACATTTAGATAAAAAGCCACCATGCTTTTATGCGGAATTACAATTTTTTGAATTTGTATGGCATACTTTTTACAGAAATTCTGTTCTCTGAGAATTTTAAAATTTGGGATCTGCTATGAATTGAAGGGGGAAAAAATGCTCTGAGAAACATAACTTGCCCCTTGAGCAGAGATCTCTCCAAACCAACAAAAGGAAGCTTGTGTTGGCATTTAGATTCAGACTCAGGAATTCCTGACTCTTAAGCCTGTTTATATAGGACTATACCACAGCCCAATTTGCACTTCATTTCAGTTTTTTTTTCCCCTCTACGTTTATGGTCATGTTGAACGGGTGGATTATGCACTCTGAATGCACATACTTAACCAATTGTATTTAAAGATATTTTACATACAATAATTACAGCGAGGTGTCTTCGTTTGGAAGCAGCAATGTTTCGTGAGGGCTTTTCAGCCATTTAGCATCGTCCTATTTATGTCACAGCTCTGCAAGTTTCATGGCCTGGCTCTCACCAGTTCCCAGGGAAAATAATGGGGGCCGGGATGCTCTGCGCCTGCGAGCAGCCACTGATCCCCCGCGACCTGGGGACCCACGCTCCCAGCTCTGTGACAGATTTTCCTGGTGGTATTTCAGTGTCTGCATGTGCACGAGCACACAGATTTTTATTGCTCGGGTATTCACCTCTTGGTCCTGTTTGCTCTCAGCTACTTTCCAAACCACAATTTCAGTATCTATTAAAGCTGTTGTAAAATACAGAATGGCTTAGGCTTCTTACTATTTCCAACATGGCACGCTGTTATTACAGCTGAGCTTGGAAATATTTGCCAGCATTTCTGAAATCGGTAGATCAGTCGATCTCACCTGGACATGGTCAAAGGCGTCCAAGAACTTTGGGCCAAGTCCCCAGCTGCTGAAATGCAAAAAAGCTGCTTTGGTTTGGTGAGAGTCAGGTTCAAGTGCACCAGGAGAGGACTTGGCCCTGTCCTTCCTTTCTTTTTTTTTTCTCTTTTTTTTTTTTTTGTAATAAATCTTTACAATGTACAACTATTCTCTTTGTACCTTGGGTTTCTTCGCAGTTTGATCTCTGTTCCTTTGAGCTTCTTATTTATTTTTTTTTCCTGCTCTTTGGTAGCCAAAATACATTGCCCAGGCCTGGAAGTCCTGAGTACCTTGACCCTACCCTAGCACTTGAGCATATGCTTAACCTCAGACATGTGAGATCCCGCTGAGGTCAGAGAAGTACTTAAGTACTTGGAGCCGGGCTGCTCCATCGAGCCCTGGCAGGGATGTTTATCCTGATGGCGCTCTCCAGCGTTGCACGAAGCTTGGGTACTTGACCTCCCTGAATGCCTGCTGACCTAGATCTAATCTGAGGTGGAACACAGCCGCTGTCGGATGGTTTGTGTCACCACACCTCTGCTGGAGGAGGAATTAAAGAGTTTCCTGCAGGCTGCGGGTAGAGCCCAGGTGCCAAAGTGCCGCGAGCCCCGACCTCGCGGCCGGTCACTGGTGTGAGGATGCGGCCACTCGGTGCCGTCTGGGAAAGCGGCATGTGCTCACAGCCAGACCTGGAGGCGTTTTTAGAACCACAGAAAACCATAATATGTGGGAGAATAGGAGAATATGTGAGCACTCTGCTGTGCGCCTTCCATCTGACCCCCCAAATGTCCGAGTCACTCAGTCGCAATTGAGAGTTTTGGCCTTTGTATAGTACTAATTATCATCATCTTTATTATTTTTATAACATTCTTAGCTGCATTTCAATTTTTTCTCTTTTTCTTCTTTTTCGTAGCAAATACTGACTGATCCCGAGGTGACCTCCCAGGAGGGCAATATAAAAAAGGTAGGATATGGATTAACCTCGTGCAAGTTGTTTTACTGTCTGGCTTTGGAATACACCTGGTTTCTTTTACCTCCTCTTAATTTTGAACAAGGGTGTGCATCACAGTAATGTCATGAAAGTGTTCCAGTATTTGCTATTGCTTTTGGGTGTTAAATTTTGTGGTTCTATTGCCGTATTTTTCTGTCTTTCTGTGATTCCAGTATTTATGAAAAAGAAAATAGTACTGTGAAGTGTTTCTTGATTCAGCTACAATATGAAGGAGTACCAGTCCAAATCTAAAAACCTCATTTACCTCTCTTCCAGTAAAAGAAAATGTTGGTCCTTTGTTAAATGTGCTAAATTTTTAGAGGTCACTTCACCATGTAAATGTGGCTTCCGTGGAGTCCAAGGGAATAGGAATAGATATATGGAAGGATAAAATTTAACTAGTGTGATGTATTACCAGCGCTTTTCATCACGTTGTGATGCTTAAACTGTAATACTGACCAGAGAAAAATGTGCTCCAAATACGGCCCAGCTGTATAAATGTCTGCGTGGTAGCTGCGAGGCAGGCTCAGCGCTACCTATTGCAGTAGCCAGGCTGCTGCGTGGGGTTGGGCTGCTCTCACAGCGCCGAGCTGGCGTTCTGTCCGTGGCTATCTGCTGGCTAGCAGCTTTCCTAAGGGAAAGCGTTTCAAGTCGTTTTTGATTATAGCCTATCTGGATGTCTCGAGGTAGTGCGTCCTTGTTGAAATAACGGTAATTCTTTTCAGATGTGATGGTCTTATCATAGCTACTCACGGTCCTGTTCAGAAAGTACAAGTTTTTTTAAGAGGAAAATATTTTAGATGGGAGCTTGCAACAACTGCCTTTTGTATTCATGCATTTAGGCCATCTTCAGTGCTGCTTTGACTCTGAAAGTTAAAAGGAAACACTCGTGTCACTCTGCCAGACACAGCGAAATGCAATACTTGTCAGGCTCCGAAGTTAGTTTGGGAAAAGACATTTCGACACATGCCCGTTGTGGGCCGTTCTATTCTTACCGTCCTGAGAAAAATCAGCTCTTATTTTAGAAGCTCGGGCTTCCACTAGGCAGTGTCCCCTGACCATCCGGTGACCTTGCGAAAGGACCTGCAACACTGCTGAACTTTTTACCTTCTTCATCCCCATAACTCACTGCGTGTTTGCCTCTGCCTCTGTGGGATCCTTTTGTCTGGGCAGACGTGGTGACAAGGTGGCAGGTTCCTATTATCACAACGCGCTTATCACAGCCATGGAGAAAATTCTCTGTGGCCCACGACTGCTCTGCTGTTTCTTTCTCAGTCTTTAAATACAACATCAGGAATAAATTCTGCATCCTTACTTTGCTGAACCTACATTACCCCGAAGTGAGCAGGCTTTGTGTGAGACAATGGTGGAAGGAAACATTAAACTGGCAGCTTTATGTGTTGGATACATGGTTTTGTATTTGAACTCCATTACTTTTGTTTCAAAGGAGAACCTTGCAAAAACTACAGGTCTTTGAAAAACACCGTGTCCTCAAATATTTTCCTGGACAGCAGGTATAAAACTGGACAATTATGATATTTGACAAGGGGGGGGAGGGAGGACTGCCCTTCCACTTCTTTCTTTAAATCCATTGTAGAGAAGCACTAGTGGGAGTTTATGAGGTGATAAATTTATTGAAGGATGGGCAGTAGGGTTTTACAGCTAGGGTAAAAAAGGTCAAAGCAGTAAGGTAAAGAGTTCAAGTCTAAACTTTATGGCTTGTGAAAAGACTACTGCTAGACAGCTTTTCAGTCAGGAAAAATGAAAAATAAAGAATGAAAAATCATTCTGTGCAATTTCTGAGGTATCTTAGAATAGTTTGTAAGCACTCTTGGCCATGTAGCGTTTTGCTCTGGTGGCACAAGCCCTCTCGGGAGAAGATTTCCTTTTCTAGCATCTCTAAATCATTCGGTTGTCATATCCCTAAAGACACAATAGTTGAGATTTGACTTCAATTTATTCCTGTTCCTTCAGAGCTGTGGTGGTGGTGAGAAGGTGACTGAAGACAGATGCAAGTGCAGCGGGTGGGCCGGTTTAAGGCAGGGGGAAGGAAATCAGAGCCCAGCCAAGGTACGCGACCTGCAGCGGCTCGCTTGATGGGCTGCTGTATCCCGGGCTCAGGACTGGGTGGTAGCAAGGACTAGAGAGAGAAAAAAATTGCTAGAACGAAGAGAAAACCTGTAAAACGGTGAAAAATGGATCAGGGAAGGCCAGGGTGATAGCAGAGAGATGGATGGAAGATGTACAGGAAGCAATTGCTGCTTAAGAACTGACCCCAGTGTTATTTCTGGTGTTAGGTTGCCAGAAAATAACGCTCTATTATGTAACCTTTCATAAATTAAAAGGCAGTGAAAAGTCTGAGGACGCTATTATATTGTATAATAAAGCAGGCCTTTTCTTGCTTGGAGCAAAATAAGAATGATTTTCCCACTATTTCCAGTATTTCTCAGTTTGCCTTGCTGCTGTTTCTGCTGGGACCACTAACACCAGAAAGCTGATGCTGTTGTTGTTTGTCTCACAAGAATTAAGATTTCTACAATGCTATTAAAGGCCCCGTGCCCAGGGTCATTTTTCTGTATGCTGTGCCGTGGAACAACACGCGGTGTGCTCCTGCCAGGCTGCTCTTCTCTCTGCTCCGCTTGCCGATGTTCAGTTCGACTTGCACAAACCTGCATTAACTCCTCACCCTGTTTTTTTCATTTTTAAGTCATTGATTGTGAAAGTCATTGACATTTTTTTATCAAACTGAATGCGTACATTCAGAGAGGCACACAAACAAGCGAGCTGTACGCTGGGTGTACTGTCCCAAATTCCCCAAACTCTTTTTTTTTTTTTTTTTCCCAAGCCATCTTCCTGCTCTCTGTTTATTTTCCTTGCGGAGCAGCTCGCGCGTTCTTCCACTCCGAATTTCCGAAGCCTCCCCACCGCCTTGACCGCATCGAAGCGCTGCCCCGTCACCATTATCTCCGTTGTCATTTTGATTTAACGTTGCGAGGGAGATGAAAGATGCGGACTTCCTCCGGCAGGAAGCGAGCCCGGTGCCCACTCCGAGCCGTGCTGTCCGCGGGGAGCTGGGCGAGGTGTTGGGCTCCCTCCCAGCGCCGCCGCGTGCGGGTTTGGGAGCCCGGCACAGCTCCCGGCCCCTCCGGCAGGGCTGTTTTTCTGCTGCGGTGACAAGAGACCTCGGGGACTTCTCTCTTCAGTAGACTCTCTATTTAGTTTCTGTTTACTTAGAGGGAATAGCCTGAGGGGCTACTGGAGAGAAAACATCTGTGGGAGATAATCTATAGAGTTATCTATCTATCACTCTTGTCGACCCTGTCTCCCTTGAGAGCAAGCTGAGAGACTTGTAATAAAAAGGCATCGCTGAAGAGGCTTTAGGGACAAATAAAGAGACATGTTAAGGGCCAGCTGAAAAAGGATAGAAGACATTATTAAAGCTCAATAGCCGTCTTATCAAAATCCAATAGGATAGGCATTTGGCAAAAGGCTTTAAATTTATTCTTTGACTTTCTCGAGAGCTCGAATTTATCCATTAACAAGAATGTACTGCACAGGGAGCGGGAGATGCTATCAGCTTCAAAAGAGTTGGATTCAATCTGGCATTGTTAAAAAAACAAAACAAAACCCCAAAACTGAAGACAAAAACATTTTTTTTTCCTTTGTCTGACTTCATACTTACACTGCAAACTACAGGCAGCCCGTAATACGATGCCAATGACATTATAAAGTAAAAGTAATTTATTCAGCACCTTTGCTGCTTTTCCCAAATCACATAGATTTTTTTAGAATAACGTTATGCTTAGAAACTGTTAGATTAGAAATCTCGACCTTTGAGAAAGTATCAAGTAGTAAACATGACCGAGGTAGATGGAGAGCTTTTATTCCTAAAAGAAAAGTAAAAAAGAAAATAACGAATGTTTTGGTTCTGCAGATACGAGGCAGGATAGGTCCATAAATCTCTCTGGGTTTATTATTATATACAAAACGCTACAGGTCACAGGAACCATCTGATACTTCAGGAACACATTGTTCACACAAGATGATTGATTGATAATTATGATAATTTGCAAAATGATTATTTGGGTATTATAACCATAGTTTGTCCCACTGGATTGCTGTGAAGACATTTTCTATATCATGGGCCGTCAGAAATGGCCTCTGGCAACCGGGGATATGGAAAGGTCTGGTCGGTCTCTCCCGGTGGGATCTGCGGGACTGATGAATGATGACCCAGAGGAGTAAGAAATCAGACTTCAATAAGCAGTCAGGAAGGTAGTTAGAGAAGAGCAAGGGAACTGTTAACTGTCTTTGGTGGAGCAATTACGAGCTGGGCCATACACCCTCAGGCCTCGGCACAGTCTGTCAAAATATTACCCATGCAGGGAGAGATCGCCTTCGAGATCCTCGCTGGAGCTGTTTAAAGTTCCTGGGTTTGCAGCACTTTGCACAAAACAGTCTGTGTTTAACACACGTTGTGTGTTACGTGTTCATTATCTATATCTAACGAAATGTTCTAAAACTGTTTCTAAATTTGATATAAGAATCCAAATCTCAGAGGTGTTTCCATACCGTGTAGTTGTATGCACTGAGGAATCAAACCCCAAATGTCAGTGTTCTCAAAGCAGTCTTGGTGCTCACCAAGAACCACTATTTACCAGCCTGAATTTAATTATTTTGGAAACAGCATCTGCTTTTGTGCGCCCAGGTTGAGCCGAAAGAAGGGGAGCTGCTCCCGTGGGCTCGGGGGGACCGCGCCGCGAGGAGCCAGCATCCAGCTGCAGCGTGGCCACTGCCGTGCTGCTCCCAACCAGCCTCAGTTGGGCTGTTTTATAGGTTGTATCTTTATGAAATAAAGGTATGTTTAGCTGCCACAAACAGGGGCAGCTTTGAGTTGATTTTTATAATCTTTCCGTGAATAGGCTTGCGTCATTCCAGTAAGCCCTGGACAAAAGAGTGGACAGTCGTCTGAG